AGTCTGCCTCAGAAAGGTCTTCGCAAAAAGTCAGTCCTGCACCAGATCAGTCAGTGCCGGCTGAGCACTCCAGGAGGACCAAGGATGAGGCCTGGCTCAAGGAAAACGTGAGGGGCCTGGAGAGAGTGGACATGCTTGAAAAGGGTCTCCATTCCTTGCAGCACAGTTGCGGGCAACACCAAGACTAGCTGGGCCCTTGGAATCATCCAGGCCCACCTCACCAGGGCCACCAGCCTGGAAGGGACGCTGTCACTCAGCACGCATTGAGCAAAGAACGGACTGAACGCAGCCTCCTGCTAGCCCTGAGCCTCCCTGGCCCCTGTGCTGCTGCTGACGGACCTCCCCCAGAGCTCTGGATTCTTCCACACCAGTGATTTTAATCCATTTTGATGTCAGAGACGTGTGTGGGACTCTGGAAATTCAGAGGGTAATTGAGTATGACTCTTTTCCCAATAACTGCTGTAAAAAAACAGAACAGATGAATTTTAGAAGGATGTCTGAAATGCAAGCATCCTATAAAGTATCTCCACTGGTGAGTTACTTACAGCTAGTCAGCAAATGAAACCAGAGTCGCCCACCAGTATCCTGGTGAGTCATCGCCAGCCTGAATTATTAGAAAGGGACGGCTGTCCCGGCTGACATCTTGCCTTTCATCTGCTGCTGCTCCCTTGTCCTGTAACATCCATGTTGTCATCCTATCAGAATCATCAACATCACCTCATGGGTAAGAAATCAATTCCTGCTACATTCTCTACAGCTGCTTCTGTCTGGGAACTAAGGAAGGAGTTTTATTATAAAAGAAAGTTTTTATTCCAGTTTCTATTCATGGAACTTGAAGAAATGGAACTTCCTGAAACCAGCAGGTTCAGAAAAATAGAGAGAAGATTATCATCTCAAAAGAACACATCTCATATCATCTGGGGGAAAGCAGGGGTGGGGAGACCGTCCTCCGTGCTGCAAGTCAACCGGCAATTTCGAGAATGCCATAAATTGGATTAAAGATTTCGCATCAGAAAATAAAGTTGTCTGCTGATGCGGGGCTTTTTCATTGGGACTGTGGCAAACCTGATAAACCTGTAGCACTTCTGAGAACGGAGCCAAAGCAGGGTGTTCAATCGCAGAGGCTAAAGCGCTTCTTTCACTGAGATCATCTAAATCTAGATCCTACTGAATCTGCCTTCTCTCTGGCATGGAAACGTTGTCCAAGGTATTCACGTTGGACGTATGAATTACCCACACTCTCTTTAAAGCCCCATCCAATTAAAAGGAGATGAAATCTCCTTGATGCAGAGGCCTTTGAAACACGCTGGGGGTAGTGGGGAGGGATGAGAGATACATATTTACAGGAAATCTGATAGAAAAGACCACCATGTAACCTGAGGGTGAGTCTGAGAAGATATTTACTCAAGACTTGTATTTCTTTTAAAAACAATTACTTTTGATATGTATCTAAAGTATCTCCTCTGTCATTTAGGATAAAGACAGATGAGGCTTTTACTCAGGAATGAATTAGAAGCCCTGGCATTCTAGGAAGCTAAAGACTTTGTATCTACTTGCAGAAAACTGAAACAAATAATAATAATAATCTGGTGTAAGAGACCTACAAGGAAAGGTAATGTTCTCTTTGAAATGGAAATCTGCTTAGAGAGGAAGTGGTCACTGGAGCTTTAAAAAAACATTAAAAGTAGGGAAGTTCTCCCTTCCTAGAAAATGTGAGCTGGGGCTCTAGCAGGGGACACACGAGAGACTTAGAGCAGCAGACTGAGATATTCCAGAAACGGGAGGCAACGTTAAACCCTCAGCAGGATGGGGGAGACAGATAGGGGCTCTGGAAAGGGACCAGGTAGCAGAGTGGGGACCGTAGGCAGGACGTCTTGGGCCACCTCCTGCCCTCCCTGGACACTGGTCCCAGCTCTGAAATCTTTGTTTTCTTTGGCCTTGCTTTTATTTTGTTATTCAAAGTATTAAAATGCCGCTCTGATTCTAGAATAACTTTTACTCTCATCGAAAATAGCTGATGGCTTCTTTACGTCGTGGCTATGACAGGAGTATTTTGGGAGCATTTAAATAAAACAATGATCTTAAGTTTATTAGGTGGCTCTGAAGTGAGTGAGGCTTCAATGGGGTCATCCTATAGAAAGAAAAGGCAAAGGCCAGCGGGCAGGTGGGGGCTCAGTGCCAAGGATGACCCATGTTTAGGGCTTGGCAGTCTGTCTCCCCTGTGGGAACCTCGAGTTCAAGGCCAGCCTGGACTCTTCAAATCATCCTGGCAGGAGGTGGGAAAGCCGCTTGGAAGGGCTGCTCCGTGGCCATCAGGAACAAGGACTTTCAAAAAGGCCACGCTGGGTCAAGCCCACCGCTTGTCTGCTGTGCGTCCTCGGCAAAGCTACTGACCAGTCTGATCCCTAGATTCCTTATCTGCAAAATGGGTGTAATGCAGATGCCCACCTGACAAAGTGATTGGAGGCCTTAAACAGGAGACTATAGGTGGCTGGACAGAGTAAGCTGGGAAAAGCCGAAACCACCTTTGCAAAAAAATTAACAGTGAGGAAACCATGTCAATAAAAGAGATCTAATCGAAATCCTCACCCGCCCCCTGTAACCAGCTTGAGGTGTTTCTAGCTCTTGGGAAACTGCCTTTCCCTGGCACTGTCTGCGACCAATTATTATTTTAGAGAGACAGTGTAACAACTGCCTGACGGTCACTTGACTTTACTGGTAGGATGTCAGGGCAGCCTGCTCCTGCCCCGCTCAGTCATGCCTCTCCTATAATCATTCCTGGGCTTTGGCTAAGCCAACTCTGGGAGACCTCTAGTTTAGAGTTTAAATGATAATAGGCCTTCTCTAAAACTCAGCCACCTTTATAAAGCTAATGAAAGGCCATCAGGCTAGGAAGAGGAGAGAAACCTGAATTCTGCTAAGGTGTAGACTGGTCACAAAATACGCAACTTCACTATTGTAAATTAGCCTTTTGAGATCTTTTCCGATTTTTTGCTTGTCTGACACCTGGCTCCACCCAAACCACCAGCCCCACTCCTGTGGCCCACCTAGAAGCAACTCAGCTCAAGAGGGCAGCTCTGATCCCCTATGATTTCGTCTCCAACCCAACCCATCAGCAGCAAGCATCCATTAGCTGGCCACCACCACCCCTTCCCCCAGACTGCCTTTGAAAAGCCCCTCCCCTGGGAGCCTTTGGGGAGACTGATTTGAGTAGTTACTGGCCGCAAATCCGTACGGCTCTGCAGCAACCTCAGTTCTCACCACCTCAGAAGAAGGAATTCGACTGAGGGGCATAAAGCAGAAGAAGAGACTGAGGCAAGTTTCGGAGCCGGAGTGAAAGTTTATTAAAAAGTTTTAGAGCGGGAATGAAAAGAAAGTACACTTGGAAGAGGGCCAAGCAGACATCTTGGAGGTCAAGTGCCCCATTTGACCTTGGGCTTGGGGTTTGATATGCTGAGCTACTTTCATGTGCCGCTTTTCCAGTGGAATGCCCCTGGAAGGTGACCAGTTAAACTCCGCCATGATGCCTCTCAATTCACATGCTTGAGCCCACTCACCCAGCTCCTGAAATCTTACCAGGAAGCTGCTGATTACCAGCTTGAGGTGTTTCTAGCTCTTGGGAAACTGCCTTTCTCTGGCACTGTCTGCGACCAATTATTATTTAGAGAGACAGTGTAACAACTGCCTGACCGTCACCTGACAGTCACCTGACTTCGCTGGTAGGAGGTCAGGGGAGCCCTCTCCTGCCCCGCTCATGCCTGACTAGCTACCTGCTGTAACAGCATGGCTGGCCTTATGTCAGTTAAACTCTTTCTTTACTGCAAGGCCTTGGTCTTTTTTTGTGCAGCTGGCGGGTGGGGGCTCAGTGCCAAGGGTAGTCCAGGTTTGGGGCCTGGAAAGCCTGGCCTGTTGGGTGGTTCCGAAGCTGTGTGGTTCCCTCCTAATGACTGGTGCTACCATCCTGTGGGAATGACGGCAGCTGAGAAGTGGTGATTCGTGGCTGGGAATGCAGCATGTAGGATGATAGGAAGCTTTCCTGGTTGTAAATCAGCATTCAACAGTTCTGTTCACTAAACCTTCTCAGGCAGGCCCTGGGTTAAGGTCCAGAGGTTTTCCAGGTTGATAAAGCTGAGCCCCTGTCCTTATGCTAGTTTCAGTACATTGCCAGAAGTTTTGAGGCAGCAGGATCCTGGGTCTTGGTGGAAGCACAAAGGAGGAGAGTGGGAGGCAGCTTGGAAGGCTTCCTGGAAGAGATGGTTCCTCTGATTTTTCCATGGTTTTCTCCAGTAATCCACTTTGTTTTTCCCAAGAAAAATAAAGAAAATTCAGGCCAACTATCTATCAAAAAATTATTCCACATGTGTCAAAAGCGTATCAACATTTTAATCACTGATTTAGAAAGTAACTTACCTTGCAAAGTTCCCCCTTTTCAAAATGATACCCAGCTTTATATCCATAGCATAGTCACACACATACATCAAACTTTCTGCAAGCTTTAGTTTAGAGTCGAAGTCTGCCCTGATATTTGTGATCTTTGGTGATTTTCGACATAGCATTTTGTAGGTGGATGGCATGGGAAAATAGCCAAGTCAGGCCCCCAGTTTCTACATAAATGCATCCCACAGCCTCTCTCCACCCTACAGTTCCTTTTCCCTGGCTCCAAGGCTGTTGGGACAGATGGGCTTCGGGCCCCAGCTGGCAGCAGGGGAGCAAGGACAGAGCAGTGAGGAGTGGCCGACAGACTGCTGTTACCGTGGCCAGAGGCCTGCGTGTTTGACATGCCAGTGATTGACCTCTTTGACCAGCTGATGCTGTGGGTCACGAGCCAAAAGACAGGAGCTTCAAGAAAATATTTGTATTTTTTCAGTGTTACTCCCATAGTGTTTCATTTCTTCAAATGTACTTCTACACTGTTTTATTTTGAATGATTGCATTCCTGTTTTACTCTTCGCACAGTTCAGGCCTCAGTGTCTCTTTCTTTTCTTTGTTTCAACTCACAGATGTGGGAGGAGGCCATTGCCTTGGGCAAGGAGCTAGCCGAGCAGTATGAGAACGAAATGTTTGATTATGAGCAACTCAGCGAATTGCTGGTGAGTCTTTATTTCTTTTCATTTAAATCAACACAGGCAATCTCAGCTGGTTTTTCAGGAATTTCTCTTTCCATGTCAACGTTGGGGTTCACCCCAGACACTCTGGGACCCGAGCCATGTCCCTCTGTTTTGCCTAGGAAGATGGTTTTAGTTTATTTGCTGGTTGATATTTGGCCCATAAATATTTACTTTTTAGTCCCAAGTCAGCTCTTATAACCAAACTCTTAAGGCTTCTATGAACAAATTGTACGTAAACAACTGCTGACCTTGTATGTAGTGGTCTTGACAGCCCAGGAGTCTCTGAGCATTTGTACTAGTTTAAAACTGCCCCCAGGCCGGGTGTGCTGGCTCATGCCTGTAATCCCAGCACTTTGGGAGGCTGAGGCGGGCGGATCACGAGGTCAGAAGATCGAGACCATCCTGGTTAACACGGTGAAACCCCGTCTCTGCTAAAAAATACAAAAAATTAGCCCGGCGTGGTGGTGGGTGCCTGTAGTCCCAGCTACTTGGGAGGCTGAGGCAGGAGAATGGCGTGAACCCAGGAGGCGGAGCTTGCAGTGAGCTGAGATCGCGCCACTGCACTTCAGTCTGGGTGACAGAGCAAGACTCCGTCTCAAAATATATATACATATATATTTGTAATTTTGATTTTATAGTTATAAATGCTATATATTATTATTGTTGTAAAAATCACCTTTAATAGCACCACCATTGGCTGGGCACAGAGGCTCGCACCTATAATCCCAGTACTTTGGGAGGCCGAGGCAGGCAGATCACGAGGTCAGGAGATCGAGACCATCCTAGCTAACACAGTGAAACCCCGTCTCTACTAAAAATACAAAAATGTTAGCCAGGCCTGGTGGCGGGCGCCTGTAGTCCCAGCTACTCGGGAGGCTGAGGCAGGAGAATGGCGTGAACCCAGGAGGTGGAAGTTGCAGTGAGCCGAGATCGCGCCACTGCACTCCAGCCTGAGCAACAGAGTGAGAATCCGTCTCAAAAAACAAAAAACCTGACCCCTTCTATGAGAGAGGAATGGACAGATAATGACCAGACCTTTCTTCTGCCATGGGAACACTGTTAGTTTCTAATCACTGCCTCCTCCAACTTGTCATTTTTCTATTCAGCAGATCACCTTAATGATGTGGGAATGTGTGTCATGAATTTAGAACGAACGATTCTGTTCTTTTAAATTCTCCTTGAATGTATCCCACTATCTGACCCATACCTTTTAAAAAGTACTAAGGGCCAGTCATTTAATCAGAAGAAAACGCATTTCTTTGGCACCTCTTCGATTATTGAAAACACCCATAAGTCACAACTGTTTGCTGAATTTGGTCTTGTTTGTTCAGATTCCTTTGCGAAATGATGGAGAAGGAGTGAAAAATAATGTCAAAACGATGGAGTGAGATGAAATTCAGGTGCAGCCTGAGTACCATCTCGCACCATCTCCCTCTCCCACCCTATAGAAGTTGCCAGAGCTTTTAAAGAGCCCACAAGAAGAATCCAGAGGCACACATGCTTGAATACTCAAACCTGAAATGCATTCTCTTTTTTCCTTCCAGAAAAAACAGGCTCAGTTTTATGAAAACATCGTCAAAGTGATCAGGCCCAAGCCTGACTATTTTGCTGTTGGCTACTACGGACAAGGGTTCCCCACATTCCTGCGGGTAAAGTTTGATTCTGCCTAATCTGAGCCATGATTGTTCCCCCAGCAGAGAATCCCCTTCCCGTTCTGAGGAAGGCTGGGGAGTTTGCATCCGCATGGCAAGGTGCAGCTCTCCACACTGCCATAGCTTGGTGGTTAGCCCAGGGCACAGAGAGAGGCTGACAGGATTTTCTTTGGTTGCATATAACCTTTCCATCTGATGTTTCCTTAAAACGACCCTCCTTCAGAGATGTACGTGTATTATTTTAATTGAGGTGTGGTATGTGTAACATACTATTTGCCATCTTAACCATTTTCAGGTGTGTAGTTCGGTGGCATTCACACATTCGCATTGTTGTGCAGCCAGCACCACCATCTGCCTTCAGAACTTTTTCATCTTGCAAAACTGAAATTCTCCATCCGTCAAACACTGCCTCCTCATTCTCCCTCCCCGTAGCCCCTGGCAGCCACCATTCTACTTTGTGTCTCTATGAATCTGACTGTTCTCGGGACCTTGTATCAGTGGAATTGTACAGTACTCGCCCTTCTGTGTTTGACATGTTTCACTCGGCCGAATGCCTTCCAGGTTCATCCAGGTTGTAGCATGTGTCAGAACTTCACCCTTTTTAAGGCTGAATGGTATTTTGTTGCATGGAGAGGCCACATTTTATTCACTCATTGATCCATTGATGAACATTTGGGTTGTCCCCACCCAATATGCTGCTGTGAAGATGTATGATTTTAATTATATGGGAAATTGGAAGTGGATCTGTATGGCCACAGTGCTGGAAACTCCAAATCAGGCTCCATCCCTGAGACAGGCGCATGCTTTCGGACATGTGATTGAAGCAGTAACCGTGATCACCTGCCAGATGCCCGTTTCCCAATATTCACATGAGGCCAAAGGAGAAGTTATATAAATATTAAGAATGCTGCCTGGCCTACCATAGAATTGTTTATACATTTTCTCAAAAACACATTCTTGGATGGCATTGACCAATGGGTCATGATTTCCTGATATTTCTTACGACTTTTTTTTTTTTTTTTTTGACACGTGGTTTTTCTCTTATCCTAGGAGGCCATGTGTAATTGCTCTGGCTTTAGGAAGCAGAAGCTCTGTGTCTTGAGCACGGCTGTCTGGGGCAGTTGAAACCAGTTGGGTGATTCCACTGGTTCCAGACGTTGCTCATTTGGGCTCCTGTGTTTCCGATTCCACGGGAGTCACTAATAGTGTGAGACACCTCTTCATCATGGTACCCACAGGATACAAACTTCCCCTTAGGAAGGACATGTCCCTGTTGACAGGAGAGCCCCACAGTTCTGGCCTGCTCCACGAGGTGAGGCTGGCTGCCCACTCCTCAGTATCCTGCCTGGTGATGGAGGCGTCTGGCCCTGTCCTGGTCACTCCTGGTCATTGCTGGTCAGCTTCTCCTCTTGCCTTCATCGTGCAGCAAAGACAGTGGTTGATCAGAAGCACAGATTCTGAACAAAGTCTTCCCTTCCAGAGAATGAATAAAGGAGGCTTAGTTACAAGCTGTGAATTAGAGACAAGTTTGAAATTAGCTTCATTCTCAATAAAAAACAAAGCTGAAAGGTGGAATGAGCTTGGAGTTAAAGCCACTTACTGTTGCTAAAGGCTTTAATTCGAGTGTGTGTGCTCCAGAACATACATCTTTAAGAAAGGGAGAGAAGTGGACCAAGCCATGGCAGCCTTGTGCAGTGCTTGGTGTTAAATGGTGCGTGTGGCCCCTGTGGATGGAGATCTACCTCTGGATATGTAGGCACCAACTCTGGATCCATGCAGGATGGTTATGCCGGAGTCCAGAGCAAGGGAGCAGCCTGCATGGAATGTTATGTGAGGGCAGTGCCGGGTGCGGAGGACATGTCACAGCCCCCAAGCCCAGTAGACGCCAGGTTGTGCCAGGAGCTCATGCACGGCAGGCTCCAGGGACGGTCCTGGGTCATCTCCACCACCAAAAGGACAAAATGAAAAGTCCAAATGGGGGTTAACAGGCTTGGTTAATATTCAACTGACTTTCCCGCCACACCTGGATCATTCTGCGGGGCTGCAGCAATGTATTTATCACGCTTCACAGATCACCTGGCAGGGGTCAATCTGCCAGTGACACTAGCAAGTTACCAAAAAGTGTGCGGAATGTTTGAGTGCTTCATGCCCTGCTGGAGGGGAGCCTCCAAGAACTGACTAGCTGTCCCTTTTGCTTTGTTTTTCTCTAAAAATTGATCTCACTGTTGTTTGTGCTCATATTAATATTTATAGGTCTTACAAGGAATAAATATCTTTGACTATATGTTCATTTTCCCCTTGTTTTCATGTTCGAAGGGATCATTTCAGAATGCAAAGTAACTGACATTTTCAGAAAATGTTATTCGTGTTTTTATCTATAACTCACCAGCGTTTTTCTATTACAGTTTTTATATACATTTTTATTATTATGTCTTTCTTATGTAAAGCATAAGAAAAATGCTTGCTAGTTTCATAGTAGTCTGTTGTACATTAAATCTTACTGAATTTTGGAAGTGTGTGGCTTTATATAGCCTTAGAAAATATTCAAACTGTGTATTTATATTTCTAATTAAGACTACATTTTATCTGGTTTCTGCTTGACTTTTTTTTTTTTTTTTTTTTGGAGATAAATAGAATATTTTTCTTCCATAATGGTACTTTTAAGACATATCTAAGCACAAAGTGAAAAAGAATTCAATTCTTAAACTGGTTCTTTTTTAGTGATTTAGGAGAACTCAGAATAAGCTGGGGCGAGGGAAGGGGATTGTCTTAGTCCACTGGGGCTGCTGTAACAGAATACCTTAGACTGGGTACTTTATAAACAACAGAATGTGTTGTTCCCAGTTCCGGAGGCTGGGAAGTCCAAGATCAAGGTGCCAGCAGATTTGGAGTCTGAGGAGGGCCATTCCTCGTAGATGGCGCCTTCCACCTGTTCTCACGGGGTGGAAAGGGCAGGCAGCTCTCTGGGCCCTCTTTTCTAAGGCACTGATCCCTTTCACAAGGGTGGAGCCCCAATACCTAATTCCCTTCCAGAGGCCCCACCTTCTAATACTGTCACCTTGGTGGTTAGGTTTCAGCATCTGAATTTTGGGGGCTACAAACATTCAGACCACAGCAGGGATCAGTTGATTCAGTGTCATACAATCTCTCTTAATCCTTTTGAAAATCCATTCGTTAGACAAATTTTAATTTGACTTCAATCTTGGTCTTTAGGGGATAAGTGTAAAAATATGCATCAAGGTGCTGTCCTCTGGCTGCCTCTGTCTGTTCGTCTCCCTCTCTGGCACCTGTCCAGGAGTGACTGCAGATGGGGCAAGGCTGCCGCTGACTTGGGAGCAGCCAGCCTGGAGGTTCTTTCCCAGCGTCCCCTGATCAAAGAACAGAAGCACCTCAGCAACCACATCCCGTCCTGGAAAGCGTTACCCCCAGACTTCTGTTTCTTATACCCCGGTGACTCCTGCTTGCTGTCTTCTCCTTGCGGCAGTTTTCATTTCAGTTGAGACAGCCCTAGATGGGACAGGGTGGGTGGGGGGAGGCAGAAGGCTTCCAAAACCAGCAGCAGCATTACACTACTCATTGGCCCCTTTCTGTGACCCAGTTGACACTCAGAACACACGTGTTGAATTCGGGAAAACAGGGAGACCTGTTATATCTTGCAAGAAAAACGTTCCTTACAGGTGTATTTACAGAGGACTGTGTCACACTCAGGCAGAAAAGACCTCAACAAGACAGCCTTGTGGAAGGAAGAAAACTTACCTACTTAACTCCCCTCCACGCCGCAGGCTGCCTAGCCTAGCCTAGCCATCTATAACAACCCCAGTGGACTGACACTCCAACTTGGAATTTATGGAGGTGACAAAAGTGTCATTGGAGATGGACCAAACCCAGCCCTTCCAAGAAGAGCTCTGTGTATTTTATCTTGACATATGTTGATGAATAATGACCTGCACAAGCACTCCTGAGTGCAGGAAGGGAAGTCCTGCTCTCCGTCCTTCTCCAGTCACTCCCTCGGGGGAGGCCAGGAACTTAGGAGCTCTGGGCTCTGGACTGCATCCCTTCCCCTCGGGTTCTGCTCACCCCGACTGTGTCTCACAGGAGTCGGCGCGGAGTGGCCGTGCTCAGGCGCTGGGACCCCACCTTAGCTCATGCTCTCTTAAATTCCTTATGGCAGAATGGGCCGGGCGGTGGCTCAAGCCTGTAATCTCAGCACTCTGGGAGGCCAAGACAGGCGGATCACGAGGTCAGGAGGTCGAGACCATCCTGGCTAACACGGTGAAACCCCGTCTCTACTAAAAAAAAAAATACAAAAAACTAGCCGGGCGAGGTGGCGGGCGCCTGTAGTCCCAGCTACTCAGGAGGCTGAGGCAGGAGAATGGCGTAAACCCGGGAGGCAGAGGCTGCAGTGAGCTGAGATCCGGCCACTGCACTCCAGCCTGGGCGACAGAGCGAGACTCCGTCTCAAGGAAAAAAAAAAAAATTCTTATGGCAGAATGAAAACGACTTCATTAGGGCCTACCTGAAAAGAAAACAAAAACCAGAAAAAGCGTGGACATCATTATCCACTTGCCCTGGCTGCCTTACCCCCTTCTAACCCTTTCATGCCCGCTCTATTGTAGGCTTCTGAGTGTTCATTTGGTTTTTCACATCGTTTTTAAATCAGTTGTTACTGTCAAGATGAAAACATAGCACAGATGTTAGTAGCTCAGTGTTGAGTGCCTCTTAAACAGTATTAACTTACGTGCTTGATGACCATGTGTTCTTGATTAACAAAGCCAACGCAAGTTAAAAAAAAAAAAAAATTACAAGTTGTTCTTAAATTCAATGACATTTTGTAAGAACCCGTAAGGCATATTTTAAGACCAGCACATTGCGTGTGAACTCTTCGTGGCCCTTTCTCTGTGGTGTTATTAAATGAATGTCACCCTTTCCAGGGAAAAGTTTTCATTTACCGAGGGAAAGAGTATGAGCGCCGGGAAGATTTTGAGGCTCGACTGTTAACTCAGTTTCCAAACGCCGAGAAAATGAAGACAACATCTCCACCAGGCGACGATATTAAAAACTCCCCTGGCCAGTGTATCCTTTAAGACAACCGCATCAACTCTGAAGCCGTGGCGACGCCGTTCATTTGGGTGGTTGGGTGTGATGGGAGGCCTCTCTCATGGTTGATGTCTGTGCTGCTTTAGCGATCCTTAACCCCCTCACCTCAGATATTCAGTGCTTCACAGTGAAGCCCAAACTCGATCTGCCTCCTAAGTTTCACAGGCCGGTGTCAGAGCAGATTGTAAGGTAATCATCCCATTTTTCTTACCCAACATGAGGGTTGTAAGAGGCTGTGTGGACAGATCTCTTCCTAATGATTCCACCTTTTAAAGGATGATTTTTAGCCTTTGATTCGCTTTCCAAATGCTCTTTCTGTCCTCTTTGAAGAGCAAGGGAAGCTAATTATTTTCAGCATCCAAAAAAAGTGAAAGGAGATGTTAATCCGTGTGCTGGGAGTGTGCAAAGCCTATTCCTTTCCCAAAGTCAGCTGACGGCAAAGACCTAAGCGGGCAGTGGAGGCCGTCTGGTCTCCTTTACAGGCCTGCCCCACGGGGTACAATCTCCTAGGGAGCTTCCCAGCAGTGCATCCTGCCCATTTCCAGCAAAGCCAAGTCCATACACGTGAGTGCGGCCTGAATGTTTGCATTTCGAAAGGTGGGAAATGGGATTTGCACATTTGCTCCTGGTGACACACAGGAGAACCCTTCAGCCTCACAGCACAGCAATTCCATAATGTAGGATTATGAGGGGGCTTTTAAGCCCCCTGAGTCAACTGTCCATAGTTGAATGAGGTTTTCTGCCTGTCGGTTGAATCGCACCTGACTTAGCAATGGCGTAGAAAGACCTGCTTTAACAGATGTATTTGATACTAAGACTTCTCAGTTCTGTTTGATCCATGTTCCGGTGAAAATGTTAATCTCTTTGATGACTTCATATTCCTTAGGATCTGCTTCATTTTGCTTCCTGAAGTTTGGTGGATTCTTTGACCTTTCATCGTTTCTTTGACCTTTCTTCAGCAATAATGGGAAATAAACGGGGACCCCATGTGTTTACAAATGACTGCTCTCACAAGGCATACATTTTAAGGGTTGCAACCTTTTTTTTTTCAGAGGCCTTAAGCAAATAGTGAAGCTTAGAGCCTTCTCAGATGCAGTAGTTTCTGTTGCTGTGGAAGCCTGCCTGCATTTCAGTGCAGGGGAGGAATCAGTCTCGGTCTCTCCACACCCTCCCTGTGCGTGCGGATAGCCTGCCTCCCACCCTGGCCGCGGAGGCAGGTCACTTACGTTTCCTGTGTGTCACTCTTGCGGTGGTTGCAAAATCTGTACTTTGTAGATCTGAAACTAAAGTATGTGATAGTTTTTTAAAATAATAATAAATACATACATTGAACACAAAAGCCTTTTTTCTCTCTCCTTCGCTTCACCTTTCCTCTGTTCTTGCTCATTTCACTCTTACTCAGCTTCTGTTTTCCCTCGAGGTGTTGGCGGGGACAGGGAAGAGGCAAAAACTCAAGTTAATTTTTCCACCTGCCAACATCTCCCTGACTGGGAGAGGACGCCAAGGCGATGGCTTCAGGTCAAGGTTAGGGAGATTTTGCAGGCGGCAGTGACATATTCTAAGGCCAGACCCTGTGTCCAAAAGCAAATTGGCTGTTTGCCGGGTTAAATGTCTAATGATCTGTCTGTCTCTGTACAGTTTTTACAGGGTGAACGAGGTCCAGCGATTTGAATATTCTCGGCCAATCCGGAAAGGAGAGAAAAACCCAGACAATGAATTTGCGGTAAAAAACAAACCACCAAAACCAACAAATAAAAAATATCATTCCACCACCAATAGAACTGCCAGTGGAGAAGCGTGGCCTCAAAGGCAGCCACAGGGCAGTATTAAATGTCTTTGTATATTGTGTGCGGAAATCCTAATCTGTTACCCCCTCCAAAGTTAGAAAAACTAATTGCCATTTCACTAACAATATGACTAAGGTCACTGAGATATTTGATAAGGAGACTGTGCCGTCCGAATGCCGGAGCTCCCATATGAGTAGCGCACTGCCTTCCTTCCCTGTGAGCCCCAGGTGAGAAAGCAGGTGCCTATTATCTCTAGTTACAAATGGGCCCATGGAGTGCTGAGGTGCTGGGTGCTGACGTGGCTTCCTGCAGGTGCTTCCTGCAGCACATGAACTCATTCCTAACTCAGGTGCTCATCCTAACTCAGTATCCAGCACCTGAACTTCACTGGAGCACAACACACAACTGCAGGGTTGACCCCAGCACTACTGGCGATACAGACTGGGTTGTTCTCTGTGGTGGGGACCATCCTGTGCATCCAGGGATGTTTGGCAGCATCCCTGAACTCTGCCTACTAGGTGCCAGTGTCACCACCCCAGTTGGGACAGCCAATCAAAAAGATTTCCAGACTGGGCATGGTGGCTCACGCCTGTAATCCCAACACTTTGGGAGGCAGAGGCAGGTGGATCACATTAGTTCAGGAGTTCGAGACCAGCCTGACCAACACGGTAAAACCCTGTCTCTACTAATAGTACAAAATTAGCTGGGCGTGGTGGCACATGCCTGTAATCCCAGCTACTTGGGAGGCTGAGGCGGGAGAATCGCTTGAACCCAGGAGGCAGAGGTTGCAGTGAGCCAAGATCACTCCATTGCACTCCAGCCTGGGGGACAAGAGTGAAACTCCATCAAAAAAAAAAAAAAAGTTTCCAGAAATTGCAAAATAAAACATCTACCCCCTGTTGCAAACCACGGCATTTGAGTTGTAGAAATAGCAGCAAACATCTTTAGAGCCTTTTTTTCTTTCTTTCTTTCTTTTTTTTTTTTTTTTTTGAGACAGTGCCTCGCTCTGTCACCCAGGCTGGAGTGTAGTGGTGCAATCTCGGCTCACTGCAAGCTCCGCCTCCTGGGTTCACACCTTTCTCCTGCCTCACCCTCCCCAGTAGCTGGCACTATAGGTGCCCACCACCACGCCCGGCTAATTTTTTGTATTTTTAGTTTTATTTTATTTTTGTGTGTTTAGACGGGGTTTCACCGTGTTAGCCAGAATGGTCTCAATCTCCTGACCTCGTGATCCGCCCGCTTCAGCCTCCCAAAGTGCTGGGATTATAGGCGTGAGCCACCGCACCCGGCCGTAGAGCCTTTTAAAAATTCTACATACAAACTGCTTTCATGGATTCATTTGTATTTTTATTTTATTTATTTTTTTGTATAGAGGTGGGGTCTATGTTGCCCAGGCTGGTCTTGAACTCCTGGGCTCAAGTGAGTGGATCCATGTTGAAAAGGCATCAAATAAGCCATAATTGTTTTTAAAAAGTTAATGTTTATCCATCTTGCCTGGGAAACCTCCGGAAATCCCTGTGTAGCCCTGTATTGCAAGGAGGCATTAGTCTGGGGTCCCCCAAGGAGGACCAGCTCTGCTGAGAATGACTTCTCTTGTGTGCCGTCTGAAGGCATCTAGGCTACCAAGGTCAAAGGTGAATTAGCACCCTACTCCTGACCAGAGCAAAGCTCAGAACCCTTCCAGCAGGGTTGCCTCAAGTAAAGAGTGGCATCTACCCACTCTCCGTGCCAGTCCCTCAGGGGTCCGCCAGTCATCGGATCCTCAGGGCAGTACCTGTGAGTCTCCTATCTCAGCTCTTAAGAGCCATGGGGAAGTTCCTTCCAGCCCTGAGGCCAGATTCCTTGGTGTCACCAAGGAGCACAAAGGAGCTTGGAGTTGGTGGAATCTGCGGTATTGTGCAGTCCCAGCAGGTTGGTTGTTTGAAGATTAAGACCCTATTTATTGGTGAACCCAGCACCCTGGACCTCCTCCAGGACTGGTCACTGCAGTGTCTGTTGTCTGCAGCAGTGCGGGCAGAACCTAGGCATGTCTAACCTGGACACCCTCGCTAAGGGCAGTGGCTTCAGAGCAGTCTGCACCTGTTACTGTCATCACAAGCACTAACGCTAGTATTTATATGGAGTCCCTCAACTGTGGGATTTATAGGCAGCTCTTGAATTTCCCTCACACCTCTCCCATCTGGCAAGTAGATATATTCTTAGACTATAAAGAAATAGACACAAGGAGGTCAAGTGAACTGCTGAAGGGTGCGCAGCCAGTTGGGTGCAGAGCTAAGAATAACGAAAGCTCTTGACATTTTGAGCTGTGCTGAGCCCAGAGGCTGTGCTTCTTCTAAATGGCCCTGAAGTCCCCTAACGGCCCCGTTTAGGTCCAGGCACTTGGACAAAGTGTTCGGAAGCCACAGGATTTGGTCCTTCACATGCCCCCCAAAACCTCAGATAAGTACAAAGTCTTTTGCTCTACTGGAAAGCCAGGCTCCGGCCCTACAGCAGGGAGCCCAGCTCCAAGTGCAGCGGGCTGGGGAAGCTGCCCAACAGGCCGAGAGCAGAGCAAGGTGGCTCACACCTGCACACCTGGCAAGGGGTGACTGACGTGCTGGGGAGTGAGGGCACTGACAAGGAGGAAGATGAGGCAGGGCCTGTGTGAGCAGGAGCTGGCCGTAAAGCCCAGGATGGAACCCAGAGGTCCCTCTCAGGACATATTGACATGAGAAAAAGCACTGGAATCTGTTCTAGAGGTGGATGTGAAAGAGGCAGACCTGCTTCCATTGCTAGGACAAAAACCTGAGGGAGCCGTCCCCACAGGGCAAAGGAGGACTGGCCTGGAACATGGAGGCCTTGCCTGTGTCCCTGTGGCTTCAACCAGCTCCTTCCCTTAGAAGTGTGGGATAAATGCTTTCCAAGATGCAAGCCAGTTTTCTGAATTCTTTTTTTTTTTTTTTTTTTTTTTTTTTTTTGAGACAGAGTCTCGCTCTGTTGCCCAGGCTGAAGTGCAGTGGTGTAATGTCAGCTCCCTGCAAGCTCCGCCTCCCAGGTTCAAGCGATTCTCGTGCCTTATAGCCTCCTGAGTAGCTGAGACTACAGGCACCCGCCACCACACTTGGCTAATTTTTGTATTTTTAGTAGAGATGGGGTTTTGCCACATTGTCCAGGCTGGTCTCGAAGGCCTGAGCTCAGGCAATCTGCCTGCTCTGGCCTCCCAAAGTGCTGCGATTACAGGTGTGAGCCTCTGCGCCTGTCCAGTTTTCCGGAATGACTGGCATCCCATTATCCCATCTGCTTAAGTCTAGATTCCTGTTGACAGACTCAGACTGCTCGGTGACCCTGCAGTGCAGGGAGATTGGAACGGCAGAAGATTGTTGCCAGCTAGACAGTACAAAAGAGGCGGTAGGGTAGGGTTTCCAGTTGACCCCTGCAATGGAGTTTTTGTGCAATCCCTAAAGAATTATATTTATTGGCTTAGAACAGTTTCCTGCAATATGTAATACATTATTTTACAAAGAACACAGATAAATGATGTTTTTATTTAAAATGTGCATAGACACGGTTTTTAATACTTAGTAAGAAGTCTTGAACAATAGATACTAAAGCATGTAGGTTATCAGCTTTAGGTAGGGGATGGTTTTTCCTCCTGCTGTTTCCATATCTTTATGTTCTCATGTAAACATATTAGTTACATCAAAACTTTTTTTTTTTTTTTTTTTTGAGATGGAGTCTCGCTCTGCCCCCCAGGCTGGAGTGCAGTGGCGCCATCTCGGCTCACTGTAACCTCTGCCTCCCAGGTTCATGCCATTCTCCTGCCTCAGCCTCCGGAGTAGCTGGGATTACAGGCACTTGCCACCACGCCCAGCTAATTTTTCGTATTTTTAGTAGAGACGGGATTTCACCGTGTTAGCCAGGATGGTCTCAATCTCCTGACCTTGTGATCCGCCTGCCTCGGCCTCCCAAAGTGCTGGGATTACAGGTGTGAGCCACCGCAACCGGCCACGTCAAAATTTTTTAAAGCTTAAAATACCGACTGGTTTTATCAGAACATCAGAGATCACTTTGATTAAATCCAGTCTCCCAAAGATGTGTTTACCCCTTTTAGTTTCTTAGGAACACTGGCTAATGTAAGACTTCTTTGGAGCCTTTGTCAAAATCTCTTTGGTCATGAGGGGCTCCCCATGCCTCATTTTGGAGTGTACACATCTTTCTCACTCACCTAGTATACCTGCATTGTCATATACCAGAGTGGTGGACAGTGTTGGCTAGGGGACAGCGGATACTTTGATGTATCCTGAGGGACCGTTAGGCAGAGCGTGGCTTGTGAGGTACTACCTGAAGGCACACGTGCCCTGTGCTGAGCACCACAGACCCTGTCCTGCTGAAGGACCTGACTGCTGTGGAGTTATTCTGTAAATCCCCCTTAAGGCAGAGCTGTCCACCTGCTGACATCCTTCTAACCCGTGTTGTGTGTGTGTGTTTCCTTTGCAGAATATGTGGATCGAGAGAACCATATACACAACTGCATATAAATTACCTGGAATTTTAAGGTGGTTTGAGGTCAAGTCTGTTTTCATGGTAAGGATGGCCCCCACCCCAGAAGGAATTGTCCGTTCCCTTCCTCAATACAGTCTGCCACGCCTTCTTCACCTGCTCGTGCCCCGTGGTCAGTGTGTCAGTGTGCACACAGCAGACCCTACAGTTCACGTAACCACCCTACCTGTTCTTGAGAGCATCAATATCTCCTCGCCCACGCATATTCATATTCTAGTGGAAATGCTGTGTAATCACGACCAACTCTAGCTTATCAAAAAACCAGAATGAAGATTTCATTTATTCTTACAGCATATTTAAATTCAGTCATAGCTGTGCTGTTCGACAGTGCTTTCTGTTAACCAAGTGAAAAGCTTAAGACAAATTCCAATTTACATGAACTTTTTTAAAGATATTTTTTCCTGATGGTTTTATTGCCTTTTACGTGACAAACAACTATTAATTAATACTTCTTGCCCATTTCAAGTAAGAATAGCCTGAGAACATACCCCTCCCTGACCCTTTTTAAAGAAATAACGATTTCCACCTCTCAGCAAAGCTGAACCTTGCTTTGCCATGGGACCATTTCATTTACATGAAACTCACATTTGCAGTGAGCTATTGGACAGTTTCATTTACATGAACCGGAGTTGAGCAGCAGATTTATTGACAGTATTGAAATGTCAAGGCCAAGGCAACTGGCAATATAAAAACATCTGATTGAAATATGTAAGTGTTTGTTCATGTGTCTCAATGCCTTTTGTTTTCCCCCAGCAAGAACTCACTGAGGGGGGTGGTACTTGCCATTTAGTTTTCAATGAGTCCCCCCGAAACCCCTGATTATTCATCTCTAGGATTTGGCTGGCACCTGTCTGCCCAGCTGCGTGTCCAGCGCCGAGGCTTCTCCTTTGCCCACACCAGCATGAGCTATGGGCAGCTATGGGCCACTCTCTTTGAGAGGTCGCCTGTGGTCAGAGCCACCTCTTTATACGCGAAGCACCCAGGGCTCTTCGCCTACCCCTCCTGGGGGCACTTTCTGCTCTGGAGTTCCCTTTCTGTGCCCCTAGCAGCCAGGCAGTACCTGACAGATAGAAGGCTGTAGGAGTTATGTGTCAGGTGGTAAAAATGCACCGCCTTTGCTGGGTCCCTTTGTAGCTGGTGAAGCACTGTACATACGAGAGACAACAGAAGAGCAGGCCCTCCACCTAAACAGGCCGTGATCCTCTTAATCACCCTCTGCGCGTGAGCCCTTTGTAGTCGGGGCCTGCCAGCCAGCGGCTGCCGGATGCAGGAGCTTAGGGAGGTGGAGAGGGGAGCCCTGAGCTTTCGTGAGGATGCAACTTCTCCTCAGGTGCGTTGGCCATTTTGAACAGACTAAGAGGGCAGGAAGGCAAATAATCCCAGAATGGCAGGACTGACATCCTGGTGCCCTCCTTATGCCACTTGGGACCAACGCCCGTGGGATATCTGTAGGAGCAGCAGCTAACCTTGTTCCATAAAAATAGGAAGGATTCTTTCTTAGTGCAAATGAGATTAGTAACAGGGAGTTAACAGTCAGCCCAGGTGGAATACTGCCCTGGAGTGTGCATTTGGTGAAACTGTGCCCGGGATGAAATGTAGGGCCTGGCAAAGCAAGTTGTGGGTTCAGGACAGCATGGCTGTGCCTGCTGTCCAGGACACCGGACAAGGGGCCCTCTCAGCAGTGTGCACTTGGCTGGCCACACCCAGTGTATCACAATCTCCCCGAGGCTGTCCCTCCATCAGTGCAAGGACAGTGACATCGGTGGGCAGAGAGCCTCTGTTATCTCCACAGCCACCTAGGAGTGCCAGTCTGGGGTTGCTGATGGACAGAATGGCCCATTCTCTGTTCATCTCTGCCCTGCCCCACCCCCAACTCGCAGGCAGAGGCTGCAGCAGGAAGAACGCCAGACATGAAGATACGCAGAGCTCTTGGGCACGGGTAGGGGCCCGTCACGCCTCCTTTGGAAGGAGCAAAGTTACTGCCGGGGTCACCCTGGGACGTGGTCCCCGTGGCCCAGCGTGAGGAGGAGGTTTGGTCTGCTCAAGCAAGATCTGAGGGCAGCTGTGGTCCCTGCCTTAGACCAAGCCAGCCACGTTGCCCTGGCACCTTAGGGCTGAGCTGGAGGGCACTGGGCTGAGACTTGGCCAGGCCAGGCCCTGTGGGGCCCTCAGAGAAAGAGGGTGGAGGTCTCTGAGAGACATGCACTGGGAGCCAGGAGGACAGATGGTCAGTCCCCTACCTCCAGCACTGACAGTCTCGTTAACCATGGCAGGTGTGCAAATGAGGCCTGTGAGGGCAGCCTGAGTGCTCCAAGCAGCCTTTTCCTCCCAACCCCGGGGGCCATGAGCTCTCTTTGTTGTTGTTGTTGTTGTTTGTTTTTTGGAGTCTCACTCTGTTGCCCAGCCTGAGTACAGTGGCGCAATCTCGGCTCACTGCAACCCCTGCCCCCTGGGTTCAAGTAATTCTACTGCCTCAGCTTTCCGAATAGCCAGGATTACAGGCATGCACCACTACACCTGGCTAATTTTTGTATTTTTAGTAGAGACAGGGTTTTGCTATGTTGGCCAGGCTGGTCTCGAACTCAACCTCAGGTGATCCACCCACCTCAGCCTCCCGAAGTGCTAGGATTGCAGGCGGGTGCCATTGCACCTGCCCATCACTCCTCCTTCACATGATGGTGTGTGGTGCCATGGCAGGGCCCTCCCTTGGCCTCCTTTGCCCTCCCTAACTGGACAGGTAGTGCAGGCTGCCCGGGCCTGGATTCCTCAAGTCCCGAACATCTCCCTCTGCACAGCAAGCAGAGAACAAGAACAGAATTGGCAGTCTCTGTTCTGAAGCAGGTGTGTTCAAGCACCACTCAAGGCTGTGTGTTTTCCTGGGATGACCACATGTGTGCATAGCCACGTGCACACACAGCCCCCGCCCCCAGAGCGGAGCAGCAGCTTTGCTTTGTTCCTTTGGAATTTTCATCTATGAGAACAAACAATAATAATAAAATGCCCAGCTGCCCAAAGATTCTGTTTGGAAGAAAGGTTCGTGGAGGAGCAGGAAGCCTGCCCCAGAGCACGTGGCTCCTCTGCTGAGACCCCGGGAGTGGAGGCAGCCATGGAGCTGACATGCGGGCTCTCCCCTCTCCTTGCAGGTGGAAATCAGCCCCCTGGAGAACGCCATCGAGACCATGCAGCTGACTAATGACAAGATCAACAGCATGGTGCAGCAGCACCTGGATGACCCCAGCCTGCCCATCAACCCGCTCTCCATGCTCCTGAACGGCATCGTGGACCCAGCTGTCATGGGGGGCTTCACCAACTACGAAAAGGCACGGGATCCACCAGCTTGCTCTGGGCAGGCAGTCCTGCCCTGGGACAGACTGAAAATTCCAGAGTCCCCAAAGCCCAGAAACGCGCCTGGTCTCATTGAGCAATCTCAGCAGTGGCCCAGCCAAGGCCAGGCAGCAGCAGCCAGTGGTGGCCCCTGAAGGCTGCAGCAAAGTCAAGGCCTGAGCCCTGGCAAGGCTCCCCTGGGCTTCCCCAGACAGCCAGGAAGGGCTTATCTGTGCCCAGGCCTCCAGTGGCTTTTGCAAGGTCTGGGATCTTAAAGGCCAAAAGATAAAGTTAAAACAAAAACATCAGAATATCAGGACTAGGGAGGTAGCGCTTTGGCGGTGGAGGGGGCCTGGCCCGCTGGTCTCCCTGGATCCTAACTCTGTAGGAGTGGGTAGAAGTTGAAGGACACAGGGTGCATCCTAGACCATGGGCCTGCCCCTGCCTGTGTTTGTAAATGCAGCTCTTTTGGAACAAGGCCGTGCCTGTGTACTTACTTACTGCCTGAGGCTATTTTCTTGATACTATAACTGGCGAGTTGTGTAGTGGCAGCATCGAGTAATTGTGATAGAGACCTGTATGGTCCACAAAACCTAAAATGTTTACCGTCTGGCCTTTCACAAAAAAAGCTTGTTGACCCCTGATCTAGACAGAGTGAAAACTGAGACAAGAGGGGTACTGCCTGAGAGAAGGCTGCGAGGAGGCGGTTACCCGCCCTTGCACAAAGAAGTTCATTGCGTTCAGGTGTAGGTCAGGCCTGGGCAGGTGCAGGGGCTGGGTGGGGGGCATGGGCATGTGAGTAGGTGAGAGGGCTGTATTCACTGCCATCCAGCAGGACCAAGCCACCAGGTCAGCTATGGCCTTCTTGGACCCCAAGAAGCAGGATTGCTGCTGTAGACAGCCCATTAGCTCCACTTTCGGTGTTTGCCCTTATGGGACATTTTGTCCTGGGTGCTGCAGAGGGTGTGACCCTAGGTCTGCAGTGAGCTCCGTGTGGATCTGTTTTATGCACAGCTCTATTCTCAGGGCCTGGAGCACAGTAAGTGTGCAAAAACCTGTGTTTGCTGAGCAGGTGCACTGAGTGACTCTCCCTGTCTCCACCAGGCCTTCTTTACAGACCGGTACCTGCAGGAGCACCCTGAGGCCCATGAAAAGATCGAGAAGCTCAAGGATCTGATTGCCTGGCAGGTAAGGTGTCCAGCAAGAGCCATGCATGGCTGGAGGGAAGGAAAGCTAGGAGGGTCTAGGCTCAGCACACACACCAGCCGGCATGGAGGTCCCTGGGCTGCAGTCATGATGCACATGACTGTGATTGTCCCTGGGTGAACCCACCCACTGCTGTCATGATCAACTCGGCTCCTGGGCTGCAGTCATGATGCACATGACTGTGATTGTCCCTGGGTGAACCCACCCACTGCTGTCATGATCAACTCGGCTCCTGGGCTGCAGTCAGGAATTTGAACACCCAGAAAATTATCTCCTGCAAAGGAGCAAGGTCTCTTTCCTCCCCTTGGTCAATTCTGCCAGCTTCTGGAAAACTCTTTCTCTGTCTGTATTGATAGAACATTGAGGTGAGCTCAGTGCCATGAAGCCTTGAGCTCTAGCCTATGCCAGGAAAGGCGCTCGGGCCAGTGCAGTCCCTGTGAAACGCACGTAGGTCAGAAGCTGCGGTGCACCCTCTCCCTGTTCGTGCACCTCTGGCAGTGGTGCGTGTCCTCATTTGTGTTTTCCCAGCTGAAGTTGTGCATGTTATTTCACTGTTCTGCTCATGCTCCTGAAGCCTCTGGAGCCTTTCCCAGAGGGCCATCGTCTTGAAAGGGCAGACTCTGGGTGCCTTGGGTTCAGTGTCAGAACCTAGCAGATGTGTCTGTGCTTCTCAGAGCCTTCCTGAGCCTGAAGTGTAGGGGTCATCAAGAGCCTGTCCTTACAAGCGCTTGGCCGGCACCTGCCTGCTCTGCTGCTTTAGGCCACTGCCACTTTAGGCCTCCTTTTCTCATGTGGGAGGCGAGGAGGCTGCTGTCCCCGAGGTCTCGCCACACTGTGTAAAGAGAGTTGAGGGAGGTGGAGGCAAAGGCCTGCATGGGTTTGGACTGGGTGTCATAGCTCAGGCCACTTTGCTAAGCTGGGGTCCTAGGTTCCCAGTCGAGGCCCAGAGATGCTGTGCAGTTGATCTGTACTCAGTCCAGAACAGGGCAAGATACAAAATTCACCGGGCGTGGTGGCGCATGCCTGTAATCCCGGCTACTCGGGAGGCTGAGGCAGGAGAATCGATTGAACCCGGGAGGCAGAGGTTGCAGTGAGCCGAGATCATGCCGCTGCACTCCAGCCTGAGTGACAAGAGCAAAACTGTCAAAAACAAACAAAAAGAAAAGAACAAGGCAAGGCTGTTCCTCTTATGAGACTTCACTGTGAGCAGGTTTATTTGTTTGTTTGTTTGTTTGTTTGTTTGTTCTGGAGATGAAGTCTCACTCTGTTGCCCAGGCTGGAGTGCAGTGGCGTGATCTCAGGTCACTGCAACCTCCTCCTCTGGGGTTCAAGTGATTCTCCTGCCTTAGCCTTCCTAGTAGCTGGGACTACAGGTGTGTGCCACCATGCCCAGCTCATTTTTTTTGTATTTGTAGTGAAGATGGGGTTTTGCCATGTTGGCCAGGCTGGTCTTGAACTCCTGACCTCAGGTGATCCGCCTGCCTTGGCCTCCCTAAGTGCTGGGATTACAGGCATAAGCCCCTGCACCAGGCCACTGTGAGCATTTTTATTCTGGCATCCCAGCGGGGCCTCTTCTTAGTGGCTTCTCTGCTGTCAGCACATTGGCCAATGAGACATCTCAGAGTGGAGCAAGGCTGAGCTTTGGTTGTGAGCCAAGATATGAGTCCTTTTAAATTTGTGTTTAGATGTATAGGACGGGTTGGATTTTTATAATTCTAAGTACTTATATTGTTATACAAACATAATATATGTTTTATATATATATGTTATAAATAATTGTGATAAAATGTAAATAACATAAAATTTCCCATCTCAAACATTTTTAAGTGTCCAGTTCAGAGGCAATAAGTACATTCACATTGTTGTTGTACAACCAGCACCACCACCGTCCATCTCCAAAGCCTTGTCGTCTTGCAAAGCTCCAACCCTGTACCCATTGAACAACTTCCCCATTCCTCCCTCCACCCAGCTCCTGGTCACCACCATTCTACTTTGTGTCTCTATGAATTTGCCTACTCTAGATACCTTATATGAGTGGAATTGTGTAACACTGGTCCTTATTTGTCTGGCTTGTTTGTCTTAGCAGAATGTCTTCCAGGTTCATCCATGTTGTAGCGTGTGTCGGAACTTCATTCCTTTTTAAGGCTGAGTAATACTCCATTATAGTGCTGGACCACAATGTGTTTCTCCACGGATCTGTCGAGGAACAACATGTGGGTTGTTTCTACCTTTTGGCTGGTGTGAACAATGCTGCTGTGAATGTGGGTGTACAAATACCTGCTCAAGTCCCTGCTTTCAATACTCCCATAGTTTGGGGTATACACCCAAATTTAGACTTGCTGGCTCATGTGGTATTCTGTGTTTATTTTTTGTGAAACTGCCAAACTCTTCTATAGTCGCAGCACCATTTGACATTCCCATCAGCAGTAATGCATGATTCCAACTTCTTTGCACCCCCAACAAGACTTGTTATTTTGTCTTTTTTTTTTTTTTTTTGATGGAGTCTCGCTCTGTCACCAGGATGGAGTGCAGTGGCGTGATCTTGGCTCACTGCAACCTCCGCCTCCCAGGTTCAAGCGATTCTCCTGCCTCAGTCTCCCGAGTAGCTGAGACTATAGGCGTGCACCATCATGCTCAACTAATTTTTGTATTTTCAGTAGAGTAGAGTAGACAGTGTTGGCCAGGATGGTCTCGATTTCTTGCTCTCATCCGCCGGCCTCAGCCTCCCAAAGTGCTGGGATTACAGGTATGAGCCAGCGCTCCTGGCCTGTTTGTCTTTTAAATAATAGCCGTTTTAATGAGTGAGAAGTTTTATTTATATGTATATATAAACAAAAATTAAGAGGGAAGAAATCAGACTGTCACAAATCTGTCTGCATTTGAAATCTGCATTTGGAATTATGGTTTTGAAAGTCCTCAGAGTTTGACTGAAAGGGACATTGTTGGCCAACTGTGGCTTCTTTGCATGGAATGTAAGCCTCATGTAGACAGTGTCCCTCTGTCACTAAAAAAGTGGGAGTTTAAAATTGTGAATGCTTCCATTTCAGATGTTGTAGATTTTGTACTAAAGGGTACGAAATTCAAAATTCCTCTGCAGGCTATAAAACTATTGCTATACAAAAACTAGTTTGGTCTGCAAAAGTTCTATTGATTTTTTTTTTTCCTGTAAGCTTTTACAGCAAATTGGATTTTAAGAGTTTCAAGTCCTACAGAGGAAAATAATTTGTTCCCCAGAGAGCAGCTTTATGTCAGCACCGTGTCATCATTCCTAATAACTGTATTAAAGGATGAATGTTAAAGCAGGTCACAGGAAAGTTAAAAGAATCAGTTTTCTAGTAACTTCGTTATATCAAACAGTGGTGAAAAATGCATATTACAAACACCACCTGTGATTTTGCATTCATTTGCAAATGTTTGGAAAACCCATGTCTTGGTATTGGCAGCTGAGTCATATGTTCATTAAAAATAAGAAGTTTGAGTTTATCGGAATGCTTTGTTCTCTTTTTGTGTATTAGTTCATCTGGTTTGGTTTTTTCCTGAAACTCTGTCAGGGCAGAGTGAGGCTTTTCTCCTGGGAGCCCCAGGACTCATGTGCAGAGTTTTCATCACCAATGTATAATAAGCACAGTTCCGATGCCTACAGTGGTTTGTGAAGGTTGGTTACTACGTCCCAGACAGCTCCTCCTCAGCCCTGCTTGCTAACTCGGAAACAGAGGATGGGCTGACCTGCTCCTCGCTGGGTGGAGGTTGCAGTCAGGATGCACCCTGCGAGGTGCCTCCTCTAGGTTCGCAGCTGGCACCAGGTCATGAGTCCCTTTCTCAAAGGCACAGTTCCATCTTTCCCCATACACAGCTGTCATTGTGGAGCATCCCTGCCGAGTATCCAAAGATAAATCCATACAGTCCCATATTAAACTACTGTGATGTGTACATATTTCTCTTTTGAAAAGTACAAAGATGAAAGGCTGAACTCAGCCATCATCCCCAGCTGATGACAAGCATGACTGTTGTGTCCAGGGGTGGTGCTCCCGGAGGACTGAGCAAGGCTTCCAAATGTTCTGCGCTGCTTTCAGGGCATGAATCTGCGCAGGGGACAGACAGGAGCAGACTTCAAATACAGCCCATCAGGAGGGCGCCTTTATAGCGCAGGCAGCAAGCTCGCTTTGATCAACTAGAGGTGCGACTTAGGGAAAGTGCTCTCCCAGCTCTGGGCTCTGAGAAGCTCTTTACGAATGCAGATTCCTGGGATCTGCCTACAGCAAATCAGGGCTCTGGAGGTGGGGTTCAGGAATCTGCCCGAGACACTCTGATGCTTAGCCAGAGTGGAACCCACTGAACTACAGGGTCTCCAGAGATCATTTAAGACCCTCGGTCTATCTGTATGTTAAGTGCCTTGTGTGTTGGAATGTGTTTACTCAGGGCATCCTCTTACCTTCTTCCATTTAGAATCACACCTGCAGTTCAGCCCCACGTAGACATAAAACGGGACCAGGTCTGTCCTCTAAGAAGGTTGTTTCCCATCAGTGTCAGGAACTGTTGAGAGTCATGAATTCTCACACCTTCTAAATTTCACCTGTCAAATTGCAGTTCGAGCAGCACCAGTGACCTAAAGCAAATGGTCTTAACTGTCATCTAGCAAGACCCTTCTTTGCCAGAAAGAATCTGACCAGTTAAGAGTTTTATCACACCACCATCAACACCAACAATAGCAAAACTCAGAAACTAGCTTACATTTTATAGTCTGAGAAAGGCCCACCCTAAATCAGAAATGCTTTGAGTATCTAGGGTGCCTGTGCTTTCACCTTGCCACGGCGCCTCCACACATCCCTGCCTTTGCATCCAGAGAGAGAGACAACACATTCGACATCCCGCCAAAAGTTGTCCCAGTCTGCCTGCGTCATCCCCCAAGGCGGAACTCAGGAGGCAGAAGGCTGACAGTGAGCATTTTCTACTGCTGGCCCTGAGTAAACTGCGGCTAGCCCCGGGGAAGCTGCCATCTGCACAAGTAATTCATAGGGAATATTAAAACAACCCATGTATTTTGAAATCTCTCCTGCATGCTGTCGTTTCGGTGATAACTGGCCAGAAAGGCCTGACGTGTGCCTAGCGTTTGGGCCCAGCTGTCAACAAAACAAACTTTTGTGTCGGTGCAACCTCAAAGCAGGCTAGGAAGGCCGTGAGTGAGGAGAGCACTGCTACTCCCTCCTTTCCTGGAGCATCAAGAGAGGCAACAGCTGCGTGCTATAAATGGTAACCAAATACATTTGATGCGTTGATTCATCTTGATAAGATTTCTTGAATTTGCTCACATGAAATTCAATTGTGTACTTATTATCGTTCATACTAATAAATCTGCTCATTTAGATTGGTGTTCTGTCCTATTAGGAAAATCTGTTTTTAATCAGTATTTTGATTTAATTATAAATTATTGAGAGGAAGCCTCTTAGCTTGATTACATGGAAGAATGTCTAACTGAGTCCGAGCCCTGGCGGGAAGCGGAGACCAGGGACGTAAAGGAAGACTTTTGCTTCTCCCGCCCCCAACAGCAGCAACTCTGGTGGGTCTCTGCAGCTGGGAGAATGAAAATGTCTCTCTTAGAACGTTTTTAAAGGTCAGCTTCATCTCCACTCTCGGATGTGAAGTGTTGGCATGGATATTTTGTGACAGCAGTGTCGGCAGAGAAGCGATTATTTTTAGTTTTAAAGAAGAATAAATTTGGTTTTCCCTTCCAAAAAAGGAATATTTTTCAGGACTATAGATCACATGTAATTACCTTTTGGAATAGGGTTCTCGTAACGGCAATATTCTTAGCTAAAAAATGTTTGCACTCTGACATGACCCTTTGCTAACAGAACAAGTTACATCTAAACAAGTTCGAGGTGCAGCTCTTCCCAAACTCAACTGAAAAGCACAGATTAAGTCTATTCTGGGCCGGGCGCGGTGGCTCAAGCCTGTAATCCCAGCACTTTGGGAGGCCGAGACGGGCGGATCACGAGGTCAGAAGATCGAGACCATCCTGGCTAACATGGTGAAACCCCATCTCTACTAAAAAATACAAAAAAACTAGCCGGGCGAGGTG